TGATGGTTCTGTGGCTGGCACTTAACCTCATGTATTGGGTACAAATTCAGGTTCTTTCTACAGGTCAGGCAAAGACATGAGCCCCATTTCAGTTGCTCTAAACCACCTCATGCAGAGTCTTTCCTGATTGTAGGGAGAGCTAATTTTTGTAGGTTAAACTTTCCCATTGCAAATCCACCACAAAAAGCCCTGCAGACGTGGGGATTCAGTATCTGCTCTCTGAACCATAATGTTTTCTTGTTTTCCCCTTGCCAGTGTTTTGTCCTCCTTATGTGACATCTGTCAGGCTAGGAATTAAAACCCCACCAAGCCCTAAAAACAGCATCAGTAGCCCCAGTTTTCATCACTGATCTCCACCTGCAGGTTCTGATGCCCACAGTGGTATGAGCTACTGCTGGGCTGATAAGGTCTGATCTCTTGTGCTGTCAACAGCTTGCTCACTGACTCATGATGTCCTGGGGGACAGGGGGGATGTGGATAAAATTCTGCAGCCAGTTGTTAATCTGCTTCAGTCAATGCTAAATTTGTACTATAAACATTTGCCCTGAGTACACGTGGTGCTTTTTCTTGCCCGTTTGTGAAGCTGAAGAAACAGTTTTGTCCCAGTTGCCTCATGCAGTAGTGGAGCTGCTCATTTGAAGAAATGAGGCTCCCTGGGGATCCCAGGAGGACGCAAACTCTAGATGGTTTAGCTGGTCTTCTGCTCCCAGGGTCCAGTCTCAGGGCATCTGACTGCACTGGCAAATCTTGTAGTCAGCTGCCAGACTTTGATGAAGGAGGGTAAAGACATGTATGAGAAAAACATGTCAAAACCAGGTTACTTGTCAGGAAGCTAGTAATTTTGTGGTTAACCATATCCCTGACAAATACAGGGCCAGTCTGTCTGTTGCTTTGACAATTCTGTCAGAACCAGCGCTGTTCCCTTTGCTTGAACCCTGAAAACTGGGCCTGGGATCTTTTCCCAGTAAACTGTTCTCTCTAGATTTACTCTGCTGCACCAGAAGCCCAGCACACTGATCTCCCATCCCAGGCAGGCAACAATTCTTGATCCACGTGTCTCTCAGCTGATTGTTCTCTTCCAACAAGGTTTTTGTTGTAGCCAGCAGCACGGGCATCTAAGGGAGGCTGGCACAGAGAGGGAGGCACCAAGCCCCTCCAGGCAGCCAAAATGCTGACCTTCTCTGCCCTCCAGAGAACTTGCCTTGCAAACCTGCTCTGTGTCCAGCACAATTTCTTTGCAGGCAAGACTGCAGAAACTCTCAGAAGAGGTCGGCATGGGGGCAATCCACAGAGATGTCCTTTTTTTTTCAGCCAGTGACCCTGTGCTTACTTTCTGTGACCTGTCCTTGAGGAAAGAGCTGGGCAGTGGAAAGCAAATCACATCAGGAATTAGGATTAAATGAAGAAAGAAACAGCAGAGAGCATAAGAAAGAAAGAGAGCAAACAGAGGGAGCAAAGCCGGTGAAACAGTAAAAGGTGATAATATGTTAACTTCCACCAGAACTAAAGATTTTTCTCAAACAAAACCCTAAAAGAACAGTCTGGCAACATGAGAAATGAAGCAGAGTAGAGAAACCATCGTCACTTTCACCAGTGATAGGTTTCAGCACTTTTCTAAGCCCCTGTCTTACCACAGTGTCCCCTACATCCCCTGGTAGCCCATCAGAAATCTCCTCTGGACAGCTTGTTCCCTGCTGCATTTAGTGCAGAGGACAACATGAGAAAGGAGGATGCACTTGTATGCTCAGAAGGAATAATGGGCTGTTTGCTGGGGAATTAGCTGTTTGTTTGCCTACTTTGACACACCAGGCATTCCAGAGTGTGGAAATAGCACTACACCAGAATGGGAGCCTGTTCCAGTAAGAGGGCAGGACGTTTTGGTATGTTTTATGCACATTATTATGACAGGGAATCTTTTCAATTAAAAAAAAATATGAGTGTTTGATTGGCTTTGAGGAAGTGGTGACATTTCTTCAGAGAGGGCGGTAACAGGGACTTGTTTGGGAGCACAACCGTGATTCGCTGGAAGTAGTTTAGATTGCCAAGGTTAATTAAGTTAAAAAGTGCCAAAGACCATGAGATGCTAAAGTTCTTGTGTTGCATACATCATAGTTATCACATTGCTGCTAGCTTGCTGAAGAAATTGAGTTCTTTTTTATTGAGAGAAGGTACACTCTGTTTAGTACCTCTCACACCTTCTAACAATTCGTTCTTAAAAAATAATTACGAAATGAAGCACAGGGCAAAGTTATCTTCTTATCCAGTGAGCAACCTTATAACTTATCTGTCCCCATCATTAGGACAAAGTTCAGGTGGGATGTTAAGTAATGCAGCAGTAGAAGCAGAACTAACAACAGCTGTGGGGTTCCTGCCTCATTCCTGTCTCAGTGCCTTGGGCTGGCACCACATGGCAGGTGGGATCTGGAGTTTAAAGTCAACCACCTGATGTGCTTTGTGCAACTCCTGAGGCCTGGGCTTACTAGCTTTTGTTCTTACCAATAAACAGTAAACCAATGTTAATCTATAAACAACAGAGGCACAAGAAGACTGGCTCAATCTCTGAAGAGCCAAGCATATGTTTTATGCTTTGGCATGGTGAAGACATCTAACAAAGTTGTTGCCCAACTTAGAATGGCTACATGTAGTAAGCAGCAGTTGCTAGAAAGTGCTTGCTAGAAATGGCAGAAGCTGCAATATAAACAATACACTTGTAAGTACCTTAATGGTAATTGCATCTAAGTCTTTTTGGTGGAGCACTAGGTGCCCATAGAAACAGAGGCTTGCTTGTGCCAAGAACTTCCAGGTAGTGCCAGTGGTCCCCATCTGTGATACATCATGTGTATCGTGTCTCAATTAAAGTGTTTATTTGCCCTTCGTTGGGCTTGAGTGGCACCATAGAGAAATTTGGATTCCTGTTGTCTCTGCAGTGACCTTTTCAGCCAGTTCTCACTACTACCCCCTGAATAAGTTGACCTGTAGAAAATGGACTTCAGAAGTAATAAATGTGAATGAGCCATGAACTCAAAAATACAAGTGGAGCTGTTGAGAGCAGGTCTGCTCTTTCCTTACTGGTACCATGTCAATAGGGGATTTGCTGTTTGTCATAGGAAACTGCCAGGAAACATATTTAGCTGCTGAACTTCTGAACTTCTCCTTTCACCTGTGTTTGAACCCTGCTAAATGATTTTACAACTATTATTGCTTTACAACCTATGACTGTAAATTCTTCCATTAGATTTTATTACTTAAGGATAAAAATGTGTGCCTGGGGTTTGTATTTATATTTAATAATATGTGTATGAGCTCCCACATGAAGTGACTGATAGATAAGATAGAAGGGAGAAAACGGCGGTTTGCATCTGAGAGCTGACGGGGCTGCACTGGGGACATCTGGGACACCTCCCCAAAAGACCATGAATGCTTCATGCTGGAAAAGGGAGAAAATACCAGTTTTGCCAGCCTCAAGCTATAAGAAAATTATTATTATGGCCCTATAAAATCTCTGGAATATTTAAATGTACCATTTATAACACGAGTCACTTGGTTTTGTTCCCTATTCTGAGGCTGTTGGTCTAACAATTTCAATCTCTCCTCCATCTTTTGAAGGGCTATGCTCTCCTTTCATATTTTGACAAACCCTGAGACTATGCTATAAGAGCAGGACTCAAAGGGCTTTTTGAGAAAAACAAGAAAATAAACATTGTAAACAACTACAAATTATGAGAATTGATAGTATCAAGTTCTCAATGTTTCTTCTATACGCACCCACTGTCTCTCATATGATGAAGTTTTGAGAGACAAAACTGTTTCCTTCTTTTGGTTTCTTTATTCTGGCTCACTTTTTGTAGGTTGTTTCCAATCAGAAATATCAAGAAAAGGCGAAGCTTTCTAGCAGGCTCTGGTTAGGGAAAACTCTGAGTGCTGGAGAGAGAATTTTTTTCCTCCTGCTCCATCACTTGCTAGGGAGCCAAAACCTTGCAGGGTACAGGTGGGAGCCCTGGGCAGGAAAGCAAAGGCAGCTGCCTGCAGCACACTGTGTGTTGGAGCCACAGACAAACAAGCAGGGAGTGCAGGGAGGGCACAGAGGTTCAACAGCCTGAGAGCCAGACACACCACAGGCTAAGCCTTCTGACAGGCATTTTTCTGCTGCTGGTACAGGGCTAGTTTTACCTCAGAACAGCTTGACATCGTTCAAAGGCCTCCACTTTGCCTCCTTAAACAGATGTCTGCAGGGGCTCCAGCCAAAAATACCCACTTCCACTGATAGAATACCAAATGTCCTGCAAAGATCTCAAAGGACTCACTTGAGAGGGAGGTCTAAAACACAGAGAAGCTCAGCTTCAGCCTGAGAAATAGGTAGCTGTGAAAGGGGTGGTAGAAGGGTTTCTTCTCTTCCCAGAATAGTTCTCCTATGCCTATGAACACTTGCTTGAGATAAAATCAGGTTGAAAAAAGAAAAGGGTTTTCATACAAAGTTTAAAAGAGAATAACAGCTCCAAGGGAGTGAGAAAACTCCACTCCCTGATGGAGAAAAAACACTTAAGAAGGGACAGGAGTCTGGATGGACACTGAAAGTTTGGAGAGTGATTCAGGGTATTTCAAATTCACCAGCATGGCTCAGTTTCAGACGATACAAAATTTGTATTTCACAGTTGTGCTCCCTGTTTCTCCACCTCATCTGTCTCCATTACTCGGTTGTTCCAAGTAAAACTCTAAAGGTTTTGCTCTGCAAAATGAAGAATGGGTTTGGAAGATCCCAAAAGACAAGAAATGTGCATTGATAGCATTTTTTAAATGGTATTATCACTCTGCTTTAACAAAGTTTAAGGCAATTAACTCCCTAAGAGCCTCAGGTGGCAGATTTCCCGATTACTCAGCCAGAGGGAATGTCACTGCAACTGCAGCAATTAATTAATTAACTCACACCAATTGATTGGAAGAGTCACTCCATTATTAAGCCCTTGCTTCAGTCTCCTGTCACTTTTCTGACACTTCTGGGAGTTTTGTTAAGGATTTCCTGGCGTTTTGCTTCAGCTGGAAGGCAGACTCCTTTTAACTCCAGTTACAGTCAGATATGTCAGCTATTTCCTTTTCCAGAGATGAAAAAGCCTGGGCACAGGTATTAGGTGAGCACCAAGTGTGGTCAGATGATGGAACCAAGTCCTTAGAAACTGGGAAAAGCCAACTTTCGGGCTGCTTGTCCAGCTGGGATTGATCAAACCCCCCCATGATTTCTCCCCACAGCAGCACAGGGAGCAAAGTGGTGGCATCCTGGCCAGATTCAACCATGCTTCTGGAGGCATTCTCTTCTGCAGACAATGATTTTGTCTGAGACAACAGGGTGGAAAGACAGAGCCAACCACTGCACAGAGGTTTGGAAAGTGTGAGGAGCCAAGCTGGTCAGACTGTTCAGTCTGGGTGGGAAGGACATTGGTTTTCCCTCAAGAGTCAGCAGAAGGATGGGGCCTTTTTCTCCAAGCTCTTTGCTCCTCTGTGCTGAGCTATGATTGTGCTTTCTTACTCTGGGAAGTTATCTGAGTTGTGCAGACAGTTGTCTCCTGCCAAGAAATAGTGGTATCAGGACTGCATGCCATAATTTTTCTCTCATCCTTTCCCACACTGATGGCAGGTTTCAACACTTTGGGCTCTTTTCCAGTTGTTGTCAGATTTCTTTGGTGTACTAACAGATTTCTTTGGGTTTTTTTTCCCCCTGCAGAAAAGGACAGCACAGGGAGCACAGGCAGGAGGGGTGTCCAATCCTGATGCAAGCACTGTCCCAGGGACATCACCACATTGCCAAGCCAAGAAGGCTCCAGGCTGGGCAAGAGCTATAGGGAATAAAAATACAGTGTACTTCCACTGGCTTCTGCAAGCAGGCAGACAAAACAGTTTCCCTCTAAATTTTCTCCAGACAGGCATGCTTTGTATGTGAGTGGCATGACTGGAGAACATGTCTGGTACTCTAGTGCCTGTTTTCCCCTTCTGGCAGCTGGAGCCCACCTCAGGATCAGGCAGCACTGCAGGAAACCTATCAGACAAACACCACAGACTGTCCTACGGGTCTCACGATGGCTCACAGTCCAAAGGTGATTGTGTCCGGACTGGACAAGGCTCACCCACTGCTCCATGAGCTCCTGTCTGGTTTGTGTTTCTCCTCACAGCCCCAGCTGTTGATCTCCACACCCCTGCCCTTACCATCCCTGGTAACTTCAGCTGAGAGGGCAGGAGGCCCATCCTCCAGTGTGTGAGCCTTCCTTAAACCCTTTGAAAAGCCATACTGAGAAAGGTCCCTAAAACTCCTGGAAATTATGGCCCTTCCATTTCAGGAAAATGACAAAAGCTATCTTCCCCAAAGCCAAAGGGAGGTGACAAAGTGGTCTAGGCACAAGAACAACAATTCTGTGTGAGTTCTGCTCTTGGCACAGCCAGGAGCTGGGAACCACTTCTGTGTCCCAAAGCACAGCCAGAGCTGTAATTCTCTGTCCATAAACTTACTCCCTCTATGCTGGTCCAAAAAGACAGGCATGATAGGAAGGACTGAGCCAGTCATGAAGGGAATGCCTCAAGAAGATGCCTAATGGTGTCAGCCCAACTTCACACAGAGTTATTTGTGAGCAGTCTGTATGATGCTACAGCTGTGGCAGCAATGATTCACAGCAGGGTTTAATCCAGGCTTCTTCATTGCCATCCTGTGAGACTGTGTTAAGCAACTTGCAGCTTAAGTCATTCCTTGCAGACAGCACCAGGGACTAATTAGTCCTTTTAAATGTACTGTGTCAGTAGGTGCTGAGCTCCTCACTTATGACTGGCTCTAATCTGATTGATGTGTGAAAGTCTCTTCCATGACAGCAGCACCAGGCACTAGCCAAGGCTGCATTGACTGCTGCTGGTGATGGTCCCACTGCAAAAGCCAGTTCAAACTTCCCCAGCTCCCTGCTTTCTCAGTTGTCTGCAGGGTCACTAAGCCTCCAGATTAGCCAGTGTGCATTTTTGTTTCTGCTCTTAGAAACAACACCAAGCCTGTGTGAATAAAGCTGACCTGCAGTCCAGGAACAGCACAGGAGCCATGGTCACAAGGGGGCAGTGAGAAGAAGGACTTAAAATAACGTCATCCTGAGAATCCCTATCTCTGGCCATGACCTGTTGTGTGTTCTTGGACATATGTATTTCTACTTGACATAGTTTCTCTCAAGTTCATGGTGTGTCTCTTTTGGTCTCAGACTCTCTTGGGTGAGGGCTGTCTCCAGCTCTGGGCTTGTAAAGCTCTTAATGCCACATGATCTTGACCAAATTCTCCAAGCACTCTAAAAATATTCAATTCATAGGGCTGTATAAACATCAATCATTTTTTCCATCCTTTGTAGAAGAATGGTCATCACAGAAGGGTTACACTGCCCACTTTGAGGTAGGGCTGTATTTCAGGATGCTGTCTTTATAATTAATTGATCATTCCTTCAGCACAAAAAAAAAAAAGAGAGGAAGAGGCCCTGCTCTTTTCATCTAGCCCGCTCTTATTGTTATACTTACAAATCCTGTTTGCTGCATTGTCAAAAGCTATATTTAATTTTTATCTTCCTATATGATAATAGAGCCTACCAACATCCATTACAGAGCAGGACTCCTGTGCTGTTGCATGAGTACAGAAAAAACCCCAGTCTTTGCCCCAGAGATAGATATAAGTGCTTATAAAAACAGTGATAATTCATTCTTCTAACACTTTTGTGAAGTAAGCAGTATGATTATCAACCTCATTTTACAGATGGGGAAGTATGTCACAGAAAGGTTAAGTGATTTATCTAATAACATGAAGCATGTCAGTGACAAGAAAAACTGGAACTCTTGATCCCAGACAGAGTTCTCTAGTCTATAAAGCAGATCTTTAGCAGCAAGACCAGAAATGAGGACCAGAATTACTGACACAACTCTTTTTAAAATGCTCATCTATTTTTGAGACAAAAAACTATGAAAATAGAATTTCCCAAAATTACTTTAATCTTTTGTCAATAATTCAAGTCCCTGAGCTGAGAAATCTTACATTTCCTAAAACTGTTCCTAAACAGACCCATGTCCCCTTGCTGTGTTCCTTCTTTTTTATTACTCAGTTTTCCTCATTTGAAAACCTCACCTATAAAAGTATTTACCTAAAGTAGCAAATGTTAAGCCAGATTTTTGTTTCTCATTTTTTCCTGGATAGACCCAAGCAGCCACTTGTGCTCTAAGAAGTGTTTCTGAAATGTGCCCCAACTGGGTCCAGCCAGAGTCAGCCCCCAGGGCAAGTCTGGTCCCCTGGCTGTGCCTGATGTGATTTCCTGCATGGAGGGAAGAGATTCTTTCTCACTGCTCCCAGGTAGCCTGGGAGAGTGACAAACTGGTGCTGAGCTCTGCAGCACCACTCCTTTGATGAGATACCTTGAGGGTCATGTTTGAGGTGTAGGACCTCTGGACAGTGGGCTCCAGAGCAGCATTCCCGAGCCTGTTCTGGCACCATGTTCTCTCCAGCTCGGTGCTGAGCTGTGCTGCAGCCCCTGTCCCTGCAAACAGGCTCTGCATCCTCAGCCTCAGGTGTGCCCCCACCACCTGGGAGGGTTATTTATGCCTCCTTTTTCTTTGTAGCTGGCTGTCATCCTAAATTCAGCTGGCAGCGAAGCCACAAACACTCTCCTCCAGCTTCAGGCCACAAAGAAATGTTTGTCTGTTTTCTGAAACATGATTAATATTTAACTTGCCCAAAGTAAGATTCCAGTCTAGCTGGCAGATGTGAAACCTCAGGTGTGTCTGTCTCCTCCCCTGAGGTGCCAGCCTGCCTTTCCTGCAAGCTCACACCTCCCATTCCAGCTGGAGAAGTTTCTCTGGGAAATGGAGTCCAGAAAAGTCTCCTCTGCCACGTCCCCCAAAGGGCGTAGTAGTTTATTCCCTCTTTACCTTTTCACCTCTGCTTGACCTGTTTGTAATGTGGAGTTTATGATGTAATTATATCTCACGCAGCTGAAATTGTCCCTTGATCACCAGACTGATTACACTTAACAAGGCATAAACTCCCTCTCTCCTTCTCTGCCAGGAGTCCAATTTTAAGCTCTAATTGTTTTATAGGCCTTTTGCACTCCGGAGAAAGAAAAAAAAAAGGAAGAAAAAAAAAGAAAAATTAGTTGCCATTTACACATGTTGTAAAGGCACATTTTTCACCCTCCCATCCACACAAACACCTCTTGGGGACTGCCCAAATGACTAACAACCCAACAGCCTATACACCTCACTGCTTTCCTAATGATTGCTAGAAGCCTCAGCTTTTCTCTGTCTCAAGTACAAATTGTTTCTTAGAGGTGAGCAGCAAAGGCCCTTTTCCAGGGCAAGAGTTTCTGCTCAGGTCAGCAGCAGCTGCCTGCTGGCACATGGGGCTGGTGACAAGCCAGAGGGCACTGAGCTCTGCTCAGACCTCCTCCTGCAAGGGCTCACCAAGGGCACCTTGACTCGAGCTGAGGGAAGGTATGCAGTGAGTTATTGTGGCCCAGCTAGGACAAGCTGAGTGATTTCTCACTCTCTAGGAGAGTGGCCCTGAGATTTCACTAGCGACAGCCAGGTTATGCACTGGGAACTCCTGACATCTTCTGAAAGCATTCTTCTTTTGAGGGGTTTTCCTGCTTCCCATTTTCCTCTTTGAAAAAGGAAGACACACAGTGTTAGCCACACACACAAGGCATCATGGTATTACTGTCATTTACTATCATCTTCTGAGCAATACAGCCCAAGAGATCTGTTGTTCTCAGGAGGAGATTCACCAAAAGACAGGGGGCAATGGGAAAAGATGGAACCTGAGGAAGGGAGGGAAGAAGGTAGAGGAAGCAGGAGCCCATGGGGTCTACTTTCCCAGCATTAAGGACGAGGCTCACTGCCTCTCAAGCTGCCTGTGCTCCTTTTTAGTAGCAGTATTCTGCTCACAGCCTGTACCCACTGGTAGCAGGTGGTGTGCAGGTTTCCAAGATAAGTTTTTGGTCTTTTTGTCATGTACAGCACCTTGTACAGTAAGAGTCTTGCTACCTGAGGAGAGACACTGCTGAAATACAAGAGAATGGGACGTGACCTAGTACTAAGAATAAGAACTTTTATAAGGACTAGGTGGACAATCAAAATAAGGAGGTGAGAGATCTCTGCAGGGAGTACAATTAATGGCATTTTCAGTCCATGCTGATGGTCTTCTCTGTCTCATCTGGCTCTTTTCCAGGTCTTTGGCTGCTAGAGCTGGCTAATTTCACGGTATCTCTTTTGTTTTTTCCTTTGTCCCTCTTCATTCCCAAAGCTCACTTGGCCCTAGGGACCTTTAATGCCCTATTTGCAGTCCAGGCAAATGTTCTTTCATAAAATCCCAGCCAGATGTCCAGCTGGTGAACAAATCACATAGCTCAATTGATTTCTGTGGAGCTATAACAATTTATAGCAGCTGAGGCTCTGGTCCTATAAACTGCAGCGAGCTTGGAAGGGAACTGCAAAGGGTTGCACACACCACAGGTTAAGGATGTATATTGGTGTTTGGGGAACTGGGAAAGGTTTTGGAGATAAATGTAAAGCAAAGCTGAGGAGCACAAGCAAAGCAAGTGGGCTGCCAAGCAAGGAATACAGGAACACTGTGTGTTAGGAGCACTGGGAAATGACTGAGCACATTGGGGCACACTGGCTTGCATTCCTGACACACCAACTAAAAATATTATGATGGGAAAAGAAAATGCACCAGATGCAGTTCTGCACACATTGGTAAGGAGGGAATTTCATAGAGAAACTTCAGAGTTCTTACAATGGCAAAACAAATTCATGAAGGAATAAATGTGTACGTAGC